CCTGCGCCGCTGCCGCCGCCTGCGCCCGCCACTCTCTGCCCGCGGGACCCTCGCACCTCGGCCGGCTGCTCCTCGCCCTCCGCGCCCCCAGGGTCCGCCCCTTCAGCCGCCACTGCCGCCTCCCCGCCAGTCTCCCCGGCCCCCTCCTCTTCCCCGGGCTTCTACCGGAGCGCGTACCCGGCACCCTCGGACTTCGGTGTGCATTGCAGCAGCCAGACCACCGTGCTGGACCTGGACACTCACGTGGTGACCACAGTGGAGAACGGTTACTTGCACCAGGACTGCTGCGCCTCCGCCCACTGCCCCTGCTGTGGCCACGGAGCCCCGGGACCGGGCCTGGCGCCCGGAGGCGGTTGCAAGCGCAAGTATTACCCGGGCCAGGAGGAGGAGGACGACGACGAAGAAGAAGCGGACGAGTTGGGGGCCGAGCCCCCCGGAGGCGCTCCGTTCGCCCCCTGCAAGCGCGCCCGCTTCGAGGACTTCTGCCCGGACGCGTCCCCGGACGCGTCCAACATCTCAAACTTGATCTCCATCTTTGGCTCGGGCTTCTCCGGGCTGGTGAACCGACAGCCGGACTCCTCGGAGCAGCCGCCGCCGCTCAACGGGCAGCTGTGCGCCAAGCAGGCGCTCGCCAGCCTCGGCGCCTGGACTCGAGCCATTGTCGCCTTCTAGGGACCCTCGAAGGCGCGGGGCCCCGGGGCCCTGCGGGGCTGGGGCCAAACAAAGACTCCGGCAAAGGGCGAGAGAAGGGAGTGAGCGAGCGCCCAGCCACTCGGGGCTGACCTGAAGGCGAGCACTGGGAGGCGGCTGATGTTTTATAAATTGTAAAATAAAAAAAAAGAAATATAAGATCTTGGACTTTATTTTTGCAGAGAGAAAAAAAAAACCCGCCTATTTAAATATGCTTTGTGTTTCTCCTACTCTTTTTTTTTCTTTTTATTGTAGTGATTGCAGTGGTGTTTAGCGAGGAGCCAGCCACGTGAGGCAGGGCTGCTGCCCGGAGGAGGTACCGGGCAGCCGGGGGCGAGGCAGGACGCTCAGGCCACCCGGACGCGCCGGGGGCGCAGCGCAGGAGGGCGCGGGACCAGGGACGCCAATTCTAATCAGTTGTCAGACCCAGGAAGCCAGGCGCTCGTTTCTCCCAAGTCCCTCAGTGGGGTGAGGAATGGGTCTTGTGAAATACTGAGTAAAAACAAAGACAAATTCTATCTCCGAAAGGGACGTTTGGGTCACATTTCCTCTCTGGGGGCGGCCTCCAAAGTTCTCAAAATGAGGAGGCAGAAATGAAAACACTTCAACTTTTTTTCTTTTCTTCCCGGGGCGGGTATCTTGAATTCCTCCTCTCTCCGCCCCTCTGGCTCCTGTCTCTTTCCCTCCCCCACCCGTCTCCCAGATTTGGGGGTGGGGGTGGTGTCCGACACCCCGACACTCACAGACTGTTTGGGGAAGGGGTGGGGGGGCGGGCTCGATGGACTACATTTCCCATCATGCCTAGCACTGCGGTCCTCACTAAACAAAAAAGGAAGTCGATTCCTTCACCTGGATCCCAGCGGCCCCGGGGGAGGGAGGGGCCGGGACCAGCGACTGCTTTGGAGACTTTTCACTAAGTTCCTGGTCAGACGTGTTTGTGTTTGCTTCTAAGTTGCACTGTCCTGATTCAGCCTTCGGTTGCATTTCATGAAACCAGCATTGTTCGAGCCTGTGAGAAACCAGTCCTGTGTTTTCAGCTCGATAGATTTTGTTTAAATTGAAGAGCCTTTTGTTGTAAAAAGGTGGGGTTCATCTACAACCCCTCTGGCCTTCTGCCATCAGCACCGTGTGGACCTCAAAACAAGTTGCCAACCCATCCTTTCTCGGCCCTTCTCCCTCGTTCCTCTGTATATTTGTGCATACTTAATTGTATATCACCGGGTAAAACTGTTCAGATTATTGTTTTCAATTTATAATCTTAATAAAAAATCAATTATAGAGGACGGTGGTGGCTTGTTTTCAGAGCGGCCTGAGGGTATGGGAAGGATAGATGTGGTGGGGAGAGACACACACACAAACACCCACACGAACCCCAGCTCTTCTGGGTTGGGGCGGGTGGGATCAGTCCACATCCGCAGGGCCGGGAAAGGGGGTCAAGGTTGGGAAATGCTGGGGATAAAACGGATACTGTGAGCTCCAAGCCCTCTCTCCTCAGTGGGACCTGCCCCCCGTGGCAACCGCGGGAACGGGCCACCCCGGGGGTCTGCAGTAAGAAGCCAAGCCAGCCTCCAGCAGATTTCCTGCCCAGCTAGGGGCGCAAGGCCTGGACGGTCTCGAATATGAGCAACTCGCGGCTGGGAAGTGCTGCGAGGGTATGCCTGGCGCGGGGGTTGGGGGAGTGCTGGGCCACCCACACTCCCCACCCAGCGCCTCTGCCCTCACGTCCGCACGTCTCGAGCTGCAACTTGGGGAAGTTTTTCCTTTTTCTTTTTCTTTTTTTTTTTTTTTTTTAAGTTGAGTTTGTTATCACTGCTCGGTGCCACTTGGTGGTGTGCTGGCGGCCCTCCTCCTCGCGCCCCTCCCCTCTCCCCTCCTCTCTCTCCCTCCCGCCTCTCTTTCCTCCTCAGTGGATGGAGGCAGGAAGGCTTCAGGCGCGCTCTTCGCTCTGACCACCTACGGAATGACCTCAGAGTGGGAAAATGTGCCAAGGCCCCGAGGAAGCTCGCGTTCTCCCCACCGGAACCAAATTCACATCTGGAGTCGCTGTTCGGGCCCAGGGGGCGCACAGGGTGGTTCCAGTTTTGCTAAGAGGGGATGAGGGGCGTATGGGGAAGGCAAAAAAAAAAAAAAAGCTGCATCTTGCTGTTTGATAATGTCTCTCCCGATATCTGGTTCTGGCTTTCTCCTCGAGGCTTTCTCTCTCTCTCTCTCTGTCTCTCGTTCCTTCACTCCCCCTTGCTGCGGGAGTCTTTGGCCCACCCTGCAAGACCGTTCACGACGCCCCGACCCCAGCTTTCCCTCGTCACGCAGCTAAAAAGGGGTTGCTGCAAAGAGGCCCCCAACCTAGACTCGGACGACGGACGCAAGCCAGTCTCAGGGGCTCGCGCGGCTTTGCGACCCGGTGTCGCGTCAGGCGAAGTTTTCGGGGACACTCCAGAGTGCGGGGCCTTCAAAGGTCCGCGATGAGGCTTGGGGGAGAGGGGGGCTCTAAAGATGTGCGTTACGGAGATGAAAGAACCTTCACACACACCCAAAGGCTGTTTTCCGCCTCCCACAGGAATAGTCTAGAGCTGCTAAGGAAGAGTAACAAACAGTGCGTTTCCCCCTCCCCATTTTTTCCCTGCATGTCCTAGGAAATAGGTGTTCGATACACGGTTTTGAGGCAATCCACCAAGTCAGTTGCCAGAGCTCCCCCTAGCGCCTCTTCGAGGACACTGCAGTGGTTGCGGCTGGGAGTGGGCGAGGCGCAGCCGGCGGCTGCCAGGCTGCTGGGGGCTGCTCCACGCCCACCTGGGGCGCAAAGAGGCTTCAAGGCCCAGCCCTGGCAAGGGAGGGGCCCTGAGACAGCATGCGTCCATGCTTACAGTCCGCGTCGAAAGGAGGCACGTGGTCGGCCGCCTTTGTTGGGATTGCAGAGCTGGGCACGTAAAGGGGCCGACCAAGGGGCTTGGGAAGCCTCTACACGTCCCTGGGATTCCCAAGGCAAAGGCGTGTAGGTCGTGGGCTGTGAAATAAGAGCTCTGAGCTCAGCTGGATCCAAACCCAGGGTTCTCATCCCCTCGCCAGGTTTTCTGAGTTTAAGCTGCGCCAAGAAACTCAAACATCGGGATCAAGTGAAACCGAGAAATAGGGATGACGAACAGACCTTGGGAGCACGCGGAAAAGAAATGCTCCCACCCACCCCCACCTTATCTTTTCAGGGCCCAGGGACCTTGGCCAGGCATACAGAGGGTTAATGCGGTGATCCTAATGCGCGTTGACCCAAAGCCCAGCGGCAATCTACATCCCTCACCAAGCCCCTCCATACAAAACAGTCATGATACTACCATGCACACCACACTGCACGCCACACCCGACCAAACACATTGTTCCCAAAACATGGCACACGAAGCAGTATCCTCACTTCACTTACAACCTCCGGGCACAGGTGCAGCAGACAACATGCTGGCCAAGAACATGCCCAACAGAAAGGTTGGGTCCCAGGGATGGGGTGGGAAGTGAGGGGGTTGCCTGACCTCAGAGGTCCTCGGAAAGCAAAAGAGTGATCCAGACCCAGAAGGACTGGGGCTTGGGGAGTTAGGACGAGGCTGGAGACCCCAAAGAGCAATGGAGGAGCTTCCTGAGACCAACCGCTCCAGTAGGTCCTATGGAGTGTGATACTCCTAGTCCCCTGGAGATTAACCAGTACCCACTTCCCTTCTCCCTCCACCCCCACATCTCCCCCAACCACTATGACTGAACAGGTAACCCTTGATGCCTAGTGTAAGGCTTAACCAGGCTCCAAGCTGCGCTCTCAGCAACATGGAGCTGCTGGGATGACAGCCCAGAGCCTGCAGATTGACTCCAGAGAAATGAGGTGCTAGGAATGCCGGGGGCTCCCAGGAGGACCATTGAACAAGGACACTGAGATCTAGGTGCTTTCTCTCTCTCTCTCTCTCTCTCTCTCTCTCTCTCTCTGTGTGTGTGTGTGTGTGTGTGTGTGTGTGTAGGGAATGCACGCCCAAGTATATCCCTCTGGTGCAAAACATGCATACAGGGGGCTGGGTCTTTCTGTGTCACCATTCACAGGATGCACATTTACAGAGAACATGCTTGTTACCCACACTGTGCAAAACTACGAGCTCACCACCACAAACACTGACAGCAAATCCCATAATATGAAGCAGCTCATTTAATTTTCCCAACCGTCCTCTGATGTAGATACTGTTAGCATCCTTGTTTTAGAAATGAGAAAATTTGCCCAAGGTCACACAACTAAGTAGTGCCCAGTCTACCTGCTGGAGCTCACAGTTTAGTGGAGAGGGTGGGGGTGGGGTGGAATTTTAGCATATTACAAGGCAAATTGGCCTTTGAGCCCAATGTTGTTTAAAAAAATTTTTTTCTTTTAATCCAGTGCTACCAAGTTGATTCCTTATAAGACAGAGTACAACTGCTCCTTGGGGTTTCTGAGGCTATAATTCTTTGCAGAAGCAGACAACATTCTCTTTCTCCCATGGAGAGGCTGGTGGATTTGAACTGCTAACCTAGTGGGTTCCATGTTGGTTAGCAGTACAACACAGAACCCACTATACCCACAGGACTTCTTGTTTAAGTAATATAATATAGATTCATTCCAGCTAAGCCTAAAGGAGGTCTGGGGTCTGGTCAGACATAAACTATCAGTTGGGAACACCCTCCCTAATAATACTTCATGTTCCTGGTCCCAGGGACAAGGAATGAGGAGATGCAAAGGACAGTAGTGTCTTTATCCCACCCCGCCTAGGGCAAGGACTGACCTACTCCTGGTATTAGGAGTCTTTGAAGGTGGCAGGAGATAACAATCCAATAGGGACCAGCCATGACAAAACTGTGCAGTGGGCCCAGAGGAGCAGCTGGCCTCAGGTGCAACTTGATCCAGAAATGAACCTCCTTCAGGATGTACTCTTCCAGTCTCCTGTAGCTTTTAAACTTCTACTGCAGAAGGCAGCTGCTCCTGGGCCCCC